GAATCGTAGCTGCTCGTTAGGGTGGTCCTGAGCTTTCTGGAAGGTCTTCTCCGCTTTTTTCCTCATGTACTCGTGAATGGTGTCCCAATGCAGGTCTCTACGCAAGGTTGAGTTTCTTACGTAGGATGGATCGGTTGGTGGCGATCCGGAGTAGCTTCATCTCTAGAGCAGCGTACCCCCAGACCGCGGAGGCGTAAGCGAGCTGAGGTCTGGCGATGGCCTTGATCAGCCGTAGCTTGGTCGCTAGCGGCATCCGGCTGTGTCTACCCAGTATTGGGTAGAGTTGAGCCATGGCTGCTCTGGTCTTTGCGATGACAGCTTCTATGTGTGGTCTTTCCAGGTGAGGGACTTGTCAAATACGATCCCCAGATATTTGACCTTGTCGCTCCACTGGATATCTTCGTCGATGATGGATGCTTCGAGAGGGCTTGCAATCCTTCTTCGTTGGATGAAGATTGCCTGCGTCTTCTGGACGTTGATACGGATTTTCCATTTCACGCAACAGTCCAGTTCATCCTGTAGTCTGCTACGGATAATCTCGGGTCGTCGATGCTTAGCGGCGATAGCAATGTCATCTGCATATAGGGCCAGCATTGTGTGAGCTGTCTTCGGTACGTCATGAGTATAGATGTTGTAGAGCAGGGGGGACTGAGGCTGACTCCTGGAGCACGCCTGCTACCAGCTGTCGTCGTGTTGAATGGCATGTACCAATCCTCACCGCGAACCGTCTTTGTGTTAGATAGCTCTGGATCAGTTGGCACATGTTTGCATCGGCGGTCCTGGCTGCTCTAGGACTCGTTCTTGGTGGCGGCAGCTGGCATCTTTGGCTGCCTTGGCGTCTCGTCTTCGGAGGAGGAAATTCGCACCCGCTTTTTTTTTTTCCGTCTGGTGGCGACACTGAAATCGGTGTCGTCGTTGCTTGCTGTCTCTGTCGTGGTCCTATCCTCTTCGGTCCGTTGGGTGTCCTCTTCTTGAGCGTCCATCTCGTCCGACGTAGCCTGGTGGTCCTCTGCCTCGCCTTCTTCGGTCTTCTTTGCGGCCTTCTTCGTGGCCCTGCGGAGCTTCCGTTCAGGTCCTCGATCTCCTGTTGTGCTTGCAAGAAGGCTTCTTGCAGGTTTCGCATCTGCTCTGCCAGCATGGCGACAGCATCTTTCTTCTCTTTCAGCTGGTTAGCCAGCTTCTCAATTTTCGCCATCGTAAATGACAAACAACCAATCTATCGCAATAAGATTGCTCAATATGTCCGGGTGTGTCGCAGTCGTGCAAGTATACACTCGCAACGGCTGCTAGCTCGGAACTGATGTTGCGCGCACACACACCACACACCCTCCTACCCTGTGCGGTCCCTCCACCACCCCTGTTCCAGGCAACCTCATACCCTTGAGGAGTGGGGGGAAGAGCAATGTGTGAGACAGAGAGAGAGGGGGGGGGGGGGGAGAGGGAGAGTTAACGTGATTGTCGTTATAGACACTAGCGGCATTGTATGTAAAATTGCGTTGGAATAAAGTTCTATCATTCCGACAGTACCTCTAGAAAGTAACTATCCCTCCAAGGTATCTCCATATAGTCGAGCTCCACAACCCATCGATGCTAGGTAAACATAAAATGTTACGGTAAGTAAGAATTGGTATTATTTGTTGCATTTTCCATGTCACGATCCGTATCGTAGAAACGTAACATCACACTGTATCATGCGGTTATTGGGCTGTTGTTACTTGAATCCCAAACAGCATGAAGGAATATCGGCAAAATATTACGTGATTTTTTTTTTGTTTCCTGATCCGATGATCTCTATTTTTTCTTCAACAAACGAATTGTGTGGCCCTGAGAAGGGCCGATTTCTAGTTTTGACGTTATTTTCTTATTATTATTATTATTTAGGCTTTCTTCTCTGTCTTTTTCGGCAATAGGACAGCCTGAATATTCGGAAGAACTCCGCCTTGGGCGATAGTTACGCCGGAAAGTAACTTGTTTAATTCTTCATCATTCCTGATTGCTAACTGCAGATGACGTGGAATGATCCTGGTTTTTTTATTGTCGCGAGCAGCGTTGCCGGCCAACTCTAACACTTCGGCTGCCAAGTACTCCATAACGGCGGCAAGGTACACAGGAGCTCCGGCACCGACGCGTTCGGCATAGTTTCCTTTACGCAATAATCTGTGTATACGACCTACAGGGAATTGCAAACCGGCCCTACTAGACCTGGATTTTGCCTTTCCTTTCACTTTTCCGCCTTTTCCTCGTCCGGACATGTTTATTTGTTTATTATTTTCTTTTTTGACTTGCGAATCGACGACTACAATCTGCTGTCGTTGACCGAATTAATAGAATAGAATGGCAATGTCTTTAGGTACGAGTATATTTATATAACTACTCCGACCAATCACCGTTTTCGTTTGTCGGTCACCCGTAAGGGGCGGAGTCTATGTCGGTAACGTCGTGGCTGTTAAAGCTCGCCGTTTATCCGCACACCTTTTCAAGAGGAAATCCGTCTGATCATCCGCAGGTTGAAGGTCAGAAAGGCGCCGGGAAGGGACGGCATCAACAATAGGATGCTGAAGAACCTTCCCACCAAAGGCATTGCTGCGCTCACCAACATCGCCAATGCCACTCTGAGACTTAACCACTTCCCGCGGCGGTGGAGGGAAGCCCAGGTTATAATGCTCACCAAGCCAGGCAAGGACCGGAAGTTGCCCCAGAACTACCGGCCCATCAGCCTGGTTTCCTCGGTGGGCAAAGTAGTCGAAAGGCTATCGCCGTTCGACTAGAGAAGCAGGCAGAAGAACTGCAACTTCTCCCCCCCAGAGCAATTCGGCTTCAGATCCTCCCACAACACGGAACTCCAAGCGCTACGACTGACGGAAAACATCACCAGCGGCTTCAATCTCCAGGAGGCAACCGGTCTCGTCCTGCTGGACGTGGAACGAGCCTTCGACCGAGTTTGGCACGATGGACTCATCGCCAAAATGGAAGCCGCCGGAATCGATGCGAACATGTGCCAACTGATCCAGAGCTATCTAACACAAAGATGGTTCACGTGAAGATTGGTACATGCCATTCAACAAGACGTCAGCTGGAAGCAGGCGTGCCCCAGGGGTCAGCCTTAGCCCCCCTGCTCTACAACATCTATACTTACGATGTGCCGAAGACAGCTGACACAATGCTGGCCCTATATGCAGACGACACTGCTATAGCCGCCAAGCATAGACGACCCGAGATCATCCGTAGGAGACTACAGGGTGAACTGGACCAAATTCAGGACTGGTGCGTGAAATGGAAAATCCGCATCAACGTCCAGAAGACGCAGGCAATCTTCATTCAACGAAGAAGGATTGCAAGACCTCTCGAAGCATCCATCTTCGATGAAGATATCCAGGTGGAGCGACAATGTCAAATATCTGGGGATCGTTTTTGACAAGTCCCTCACCTGGAAAGCGCACATAGAAGCTGTCATCGCAAAAACCAGAGCAGCCATGGCTCAACTCTATCCATTACTGGGTAGACACAGCCAGATGCCGCTAGCGACCAAGCTACGGCTGATCAAGGCATCGCCAGACCTCAGCCTCGCTTACGCCTCCGCGGTCTGGGGGTACGCTGCCCCCAGCTACCGCAAGCGACTTGCTGCTCTAGAGATGAAGCTACTCCGGATCGCCACCAATGCACCTTCCTACGTAAGGAACTCAACCTTGCGTAGAGACCTGCATTGGGATACCATCCACGAGTACATGAGGAAAAAAGCGGAGAAGACCTTCGAGAAAGCTCAGGACCACCCGAACGAGCAGCTACGATTCCTCATGGACTACGATCCGGACGAGAGGCCTCGCAACCGCAGAACCAGGTACCCCAGACCAAGGTCCCAGTTGGCACCCGCTAACTGGAACTTGACTAGGAGACTAGGAGAACTGCGGCTGCTCCCCCCCCTCACCCCACGGCGTGGATGCAGAGGACAGGAACCACGGGACCCGGCCAACCAGGACCCAGGACCCGCCACGACCAGGACCACAGGACCAGGACCCTTCAGGACCAGGACCAGGAACAACATATGGTAAGAGGACTTGAAACTCTGATTTTTTCGAAAACAAGAGTTTCAAGAGAAACTAGCAGACCCTCTATCGATGATCGCTTAACGACATCGATAGAATGTGCGAGGTAAAGGGAACCAACCCGGCGTTCCCAGAGACTGAAACACATGAGGAGACGTTGTAGCAGACCGCAGGTCACGCACAACACATGGCCTACCGAGACGCTGATGAGTCGGGCCACGCGGAGGTTTAGGGTTTAGTGGGTATTAGGTGATCTCTTCAAGACCCTGGAGCCCCACACACGTCGTAACACCTTTCCATTATAGATCACGATATT